ACAAGGAGATGTGGGGGGGGGGGGGATCATTCAGGTAACAACCGTAACAACACAGTATTAAGAAAAAATGAACCTTTCATTTTTATAAATTCAACTATTATTTTCTCTTGTGGACTATATGTAAACATCTTTTATGTGAAATATCTTATTCAGGTCAGTACTAAATGAACAATAACATGCATTTTGTATGATCCCTCTTATTTTGGTAAAATAATTAACATTTTGTAGATTCTGAAAGGGGGATGTAAACTTTTGATCTTAACTGTACACATTTAATAGACTTAAGAATTTAAGTTAATATCCTAAATTATTTTTATGATGACTGCTTATGATAAAATATTTCAGGTAGAGATGTTTCTCACCACGTCTTGCTCTTTAGTACTGCATTTTTCACATTCACACTGAAGGGAATGGATGTGCAGGATTTCTTTCTAGAAATTACAAACAAACAAGCAAACAAATACATAAATTACATAATCATACTTTTATATGCTATCTCTCCCATTTGTTACCTTGAGTAAAAAGTTGAGCATTTTTCCATGGCACAGTATATCTTTCTTCCAGTGTCCATCAGTGAGAATCGGTTCCTGCTTTACAAATTCCTCCGGAGTGAACCATCTTTCCTCAGTACGCATACACTTCCCACGACTCCCTGCAACACAACAATAAACATAAACACTTCCCACTCAAACCTTTGACACAGACAAAACAAACTGAGTTCTGCACACAAATCTGTGCAATAACGTACCTGACGCAAACCTGCATTTGTACAGAGTCCCAGTAAGTGAAACAGGTGACTGGTAAAGAGGAAGCCTGGAAAACAGACAGATCTGCCATGTCATCTTCTTCCTCCTCCTCTTCCTCAGCTCTCCCTCTAAACTCTGTTCCTCCTCCTCTCCCTCCCTGCTCCTGGAAATCTTCAGCATGGCTTTCCTCCATGAAACCGAAGCTTGTTTCTGAGTTTTGAGGAATAAAACACATTACTGCATTCAGACAGACAGCAGAGAGAGTGTGAATGAGCGTGGAAGATCGTTACTCACCTTCACTGAACCTTTTGTTTAAGATGACAGTAAACAGCTTATTCGTGTTCTGCAGGAAGCAACAAAGTAACTTAATGAATGTCAAATGAAAAACAGGAAAAGTAAAACCTGACATTGCACATAGAGTGACAAAGTACTTTTTGGACATGTGTTCTCTTTCTTTGTGGACACAGAAGATGCTCCTCCTGAAAAAAAAAATGAGAAAGGTACTGATCACACATGTATATCAGGGGTCTGCTGTATTTAATGTAACTACATATTTACCTCACATGTTATAAATTTAAAGGCTCGATACTAGGGCTGGGTATTGACACAAATTTCACAATGTGATTCAATTTCTATTCACAAGCTTACAATTTGATTTGCTTCCAATTTCGATTATTTTGGATATATATTAGGTATATTACATGGAACATTTTCTCAAGGAAAAAAAAACTCTCAACTAATGCTGTAAAATATACAAGAGAGTCAGTTGGTACTACATTTTAATATTGTGTGTTAAAATGAACTGATTTGTATACAAACGCTTAATTACACTCAGTTAAGTTTTTATAATAATAAAGTTACAATTACATAATTCTGTTTCTACTCCAATACATTTTTTTTTAAATATAAACATTTAAATGGTGGCTGTCATACAAACTTGATGGATTTATTCAAACAAAGTAGGCCTATAATTGCCCGTTATTTTTTTACCCAGCCCTAGTCGATACAAAAATATGTGCTGTCCTTCTGTTGCTTTCTATTAGAAGCACGTTCCTGCTATAGGCTCTCCACCTTTTTCTTGACGTAAAAATGGGCGCGCCCATTTGTAAACTCTATGGGTCTAGTTTCCGGTCTCATCTGCGTCTAGCTATTTTTAGCTGTACAAAACAGTTCATTTGCTGCTTGATATTGAAAACTGGTGTGTCTTACCATATTATTTTAATCTTAATTATGAACACACTGGTTTGTAGTGCAAACAGTTTTACTGTTTACTGCACGTTGTTATTCTTCTCGTTATTTCCCTATAGTGGCTAATGAACTGGAAGTCTCGCCCATAGGCTTACTTCCGCATTGAAGAAAAAGGTGGATAAGTTCCTAGAGTTGTACAATCAAATATTTTTTTCAAATAGAAAAAAAGGTGCAGTTTTCTTTCAAACAGTGGTGGGTGTACCGATTAAGAAATCAATTAAAAATGCCACTAAAAAGTTAACTTGTGCATGCAGTGTACCGTAAGTTTACAGCAAAACCAAGGACAATTTCCAAATCCTTGTTTTTAACAAAGATCCCAACAATCCCAACAATCTGTAAGTGCTTGCATTATTTACGTCTATGAGTTTCTTAAGCGGTGTGTTTCTGCAGCGGATGCTGGTTTTCCAGCTTTTGCACTTTTCCTTCCTCGCAAACTTCTCAAAAGCATTTGGGGTGAACCAGCGTCCCTGGAACAAAATACACTTCTTCCCTACAGGAGACAAGGACGAGATGCATTCAGACTGATCTTTCCACCCATAGAAAGTATATTAAACACAAACTGTAATAAAATTAAGAGAAATTATAGCAAAAACTCAATGATGGTGAACCTTCGGTCAGTTTTCCCGATAGAGAGTTCCTTCTTTATCCCCACAGCTTACAGGCAGCTGAATTTTATAAATAGGCCACTTCCAAATCTCCTGCTTGTCACCTTTCTTCACAGGAGATGCTGAGAAAGAGAGAGAAGACGACACAGATCAGGAGAGAGTGAAAATACAGGAATAGGACATCAGGCACCAGGAAACAGAGTGTTATTTTAGTATCACTGAGATTCTATTATAGTTTTTATTATTATTTTGAATTAATTTTAGGTCACATTTTAGTAATTTTGTGTTTTGCCAGTTTCATCTTGGATTGCCTGAGGGTGAGGATTTTGGACAAAGGTGATGATAAATGGGGCATCACCTTTTTAGTTAAGATTTACTTTATTGCAAGTAACAAAAATGTTTTTTATCATTTTAGTTTTAGTGTTAACTATAAACCCTGATAAGAAATTAGACCTGCTGTAGTTCAGGGACTCACAGGATGAGGGTTTTTTGGCTGGTTTCCTCCGCTTGGGTGTGGAAGTAGAGGAAGGACCAGGATCATCACTATCCTCACTACTTTTGTCATCTTTACTTCCCTTTCTTTTGTAGCTCTTCTCCTTCCCTTTCTCTGCCTTTCCTTTACTCTTCTCCTCCTCTGTCTGTATCTCAACATCCGGAGGTTTCTCATAGAGTTTCTCAGTGCCTGGGACAAAGAAAAAAAGATACTGTACATATATATGAACCCGTTCTTGCTTTATCATAGCATAGTAATGCAGTGTGAGCCTCCAGATAACAAAACATAAAGCTGATAATAATCAAAAATACTGACCATCAAGCAGACTGCTTCTGAGCTTGCGTAGCTTTGGGTACTGCTGCAGGATATGATCTTCAAACACACAGCACCAGAACTGCTGTATGTCCTGAGGTCTATTTTTCTCCACCCAGTCCAGAACCTCATAGAAGCCCTTCTCCTTCTGCTTACGAGTACGCGTGTTTTTCACATTCTACAGACAAAAACAGAGAGAAGGAGATAAAGGAAGATGGAGGTATGTATGATCAGACGCCTAAATATGCAAAACAATGAACTGACACATTATAATTTTTAGTTAGTAAGTATAGTGGAGGTACCATGGTAAAGTGATGGTTATCTGATGGTAATACCATGATAGTAAGACCAGTAAGATTTTTTTAAAGAAATTAATACTGAAATTTATAGTTACACAAAAATCTGTATCAAATAGATGCTGTCTCCAAGTGGATGCTGCACACTGGTGGTGGTTGAGGAGAGATCCCTCATGATTGTAAAGCGCTTTGAAAGCGCACACAATGAAAGCATTATATAAATGCCTTATTCATTCATTCATTTTTTATACTTTCTATTCATCCAAAACCCTGAAAAAATGGTATCACAGTTTCCACAAAAATATTAAGCAGCACAACTGTTTTAAACACTGATAATAAAAAGAACTGTTTATTGGGAAGCAAATCAGCATATTAGAATGACTGTAGAACACTGACTGTAGAACACTGAAGACTAGGGCTGGGTTTTGACACAAGTTTAACGATTCTGATTCACAAGCTTGCGATTTGATTCAATTCGATTTCTAACTTGATTTGATTCAATATCAATTATTTTTTATATATATCAGGTACAGTATATGGCAAATTTTCTCAAGGAAAAGAAATCTCTCAAATAATGCTGTAAAATATACATGAGAGTCAGTTGGTACTACATTACTATAATATTGAAGGTTAAAACTGATTTGTATAAAAACGCTTAAATTACACTCAATTAAATTTTTTATAATAATTAAGTTACAATTACATAATTATGTTTCTACTCCAATTTGTTTCTTGAAATATAAACGTTTAAATGGTGGCCGTGACGGATTTATTCAAGCATAAATTAAACATCGAAGAACAGTAAAAATTATAATGAATATGTTAAATGGTGCATTTATTTAGCAAAATGCTCTATAAATCAGACTAATCAGTTTTTGGTCACCTAATATGTTTTTTTCTGAGGTAAATGCGACGTTATGCATTGTTTACAAGCTGTTATACTGAAGTCTTTCCGCGGTTAAAATGCTGATTGAGCGATTGTATGAGACAGGATACGGATTTTTTGTAAGTTGTACTCTTTCTCGTAACATACCTTCGAATGTTTATTCATGTTTATGCCATAACTGGTATTAAAGCGGATGAGAAGATCTGTTAATGCAATGTAATCAGGTGATTATGTTTGTCCATCTGTGCAAATCTTTATAGAGGCAAAAGAATGAGATGATCACTGTCTGTCACCGTCAGTTTAGAATAGTCCATGTATATTTTAGAAGACTGATGATGGTACACCACCACCAACAACAACAACTACAAAAAACCTCAGCTTTCTCATCAAACAATATACAGAACAATATTAAGCAAATAGAGTAAAATCCTATCTTAATAAATTCAATTTTAAGTACAATTAAAATAAAACGTACTTCACTTAAAAAACCTATGAAAAAAATCTATCATTGTCCCTCAAAACCTCAAAAAGCAGCAGATGGAGTTTGAACTTAAAGGCACAATATGTAAGATTTTTTTATTAAAATATCCAAAAACCACTAGAACAGTGATATATATTTTGCTGACTTGTGTACTTACATTATCCCAAATGTTTCGAAGAATGTTTAAAAACAGAGAAATAAGCAATTTTAACTACGGAGCGTGTCCATAGTGTCATTGTGTCGTGTTTATTTTGAATACGCGCCCTCTAGCGGTGAAAATTACATATAGTGCCTTTAACATCAGGCCAGAGGCGTACATTTTGTCGAACAGTGGCAGGTGACTAAACATACAATTTCTCAAAAGCAGTTTTTGAAGGGGACACAAACAATACAGCTAAACTTGTACTTGTAATGATGTGTAAACAGAGGAAACCTTCAGTTACTACTATTAATGTAGCAGGGAGACGATGGCGTTATTTTAATGACAAATGTCAAGAGCGCATTATTGTAGCGTGAAAGCACATTAATATAATGCGCGAGCACGAATCTCTTCCTTCGCACCCGGATTTTCTTTGCTCTCGTATGGCAAGCCAAAAGAGTCAGAATTACTCTATAGATAAATCGCGTTTACATAATACGTTGTTTAAAACAGCTTTAGCGCCGTCAAGTACACCGTCCTGATAGCAGACGCCGTAAAAAAAAACGCGCGTAAACGGTAAAAAACGCCTTATTTAACGGCGTTTTAGTGTTTATAGACTAATTCACCACGATCATTTAGCGGAAGAAGTGCTTGTGAACTGATAGGAAATATTTATGTACAAAGTAACTTTTTGTATATTTTCATCTCTACTAACATTGAACATAGGCCGCTTCCACATCTTTTTCATACTTTAATGTAATTATTAATATTACATGGACAGCATTTTAGCATACCAACCCCATTATATATATATATATATATATATATATATATATAGACTATCATTTATTACACAAATAGCTTTTACTTACATAAATAACAGGACATTATATTAGCTTTGAGTATTTTAATTTCCAAAACAAGAAATTGTTCATAGTATAGGCTAACGGAAGTCAGAGAATGTGTAAAAGCTGTGCAGCTACAGAAGTTGGAGGCAATGGTCCTTAGCCTTTTTGTTAGTGTTTGACTGATTCAAGTCCTGCGGTGACACATTGCTGCCACAGGCATATTATTTTTTTCCGCTCAATTATGTCGTAATAATGAGATGTTATGTCGTTAAAACGACATATTTTATCGTGATAACGAGAAGTTACGTCATTAAAACAATATGTTTTTCCCTTTATAGAATATGGTTACATTATGTGAGTGAGGTAAGTGATTGTCCGCGCTGCTGTCGCCACATTCCTGACGAGGATCTGCAGGAGGGATAATAGAAATACGCTGTTTTAAATGTATTTGAATGTAATGGTTTTTATTGTAGCGGCATGTTTATCAGGATTAATCTCTATAATAATTATAGAATAATAATTGCACTCAGACCCAGAGGATATGACTCGTTTAAGATGATCGAAGAACCAGTGGTCGTGGTGGGTCAAACACTAACAAAAAGGCTAAGGCTACGTCCACACGAAGCCAGAGCTTTCCCTATCCAATCTTTTTTTTCTCCTCGTCTCAAGAAATATCTGGGTCCACACGAAACCACAAAATCGACACAAAACGATATAGTATACATGCCAGACCAGTATATGGCGCTGTAATTCTGCCACAGAGATACACTAAAAAGCAGACTTGGGCTGTGTCCGAAATCGCCCCCTATACCCTTAAATAGGGCACTATTTGAGGGAACAGCCATTTTTAGTGGTGTCCGAAACCATAGTGGACGTTCTCGAGTTCACCGTGAGAGTCACGCGCCGAATGAATTCCCGCATCTCGCCAGAAGATGGCGCCCGCAGCTGAATAATTAATCCGTTCATTTTTACAAAGCGCTCATCCATGGCATACAGCATAATGTACAACACGGGTATAAATTCATTGTAAATTGATTATTAAATTGTTTGATTAGGGTTTATACATAATTTCCGTGACAGAGTTCAAGATAAATCCTTTAATCTTACTACTGGAGCTGCTAGTTTGCTAGTTTCAAATGATTAATAAACAGCAAGCACAAACTATGCAAAAGCGGCATTCCTTCCGGTGCACTCAGTGTCCGAATTCACTACTCGTTTTCATTCACTCCTTCTAGTGAACTGAATTAGTGACCTAATATAGGGAATAGTGAATGAGGGTATAGGGGGCGATTTCGGACACAGCCTTGGACTATGCGCATAAACCTTGCGCGTGGTATACAAACGAACATGGAACAATACATTTATTAATTGGTGTTAATGTTACTTAATAAAAAGACAATCGTTCAGTGTTTGTTCCTGTTTTGTTGCTGTTACGTGACGTGGCGGTGTCTCACTCTCCCAAAACGCCGGATCCGTGTGGACGAAACGCCTATACCAGGGTTCCTCAAATCTTTCTCTGGAGGGCCAATGCGCTGCAGAGTTTAGCTCCAACCCTGATTAAACTCACCTTCCTGTGACTTTCTTATGATCCTGAAGACACTGATTAGCATGCTCAGGTGTGTTTGATTAGAGTTAGAGCTAAACTCTGCAGGAAATTGGATCTCGCGGGCCAGATTTGAGGATCCCTGGCCTATACGGCTATATACAGCTAAACACGTCTCCGTGTGGACGGGGCTAACGGAAGTAAGTAAGAACCATTGCCTCCAACTTCTGTAGCTGCACAGCTTTTACACATTCTCTGACTTCCGTTAGCCTTTGCTATGAAAAATTTCTTTTTTTGGAAATTAAATTACTCAAAGCTAATATAATGTCCTGTTATTTATGTACGTAAAAGCTATTTGTGTAATAAATGATAGACTATATGTACAATGGGGTTGGTATAAAATGCTGTCTATGCAATATTAAAAATTACATTAAAGTATATGATAAAGACGTGGAATCGGCCTATGTTCAATGTTACTAGAGATGAAAATATACAAAAAGTTACTTTGTACATAAATATTTCCTATCATTTCACATGCACTTCTTCTGCTAAAACGATCGTGGTGAATTAGTCTGGTCTGGTTTTGTTCATCACTGATTGGGTGAGAGCAATTCAAACTTACTGGCTGTGGAAATCAGTGGGCGTGGCTTATTATACTTCAAGGAAAACACTGTAAACGACCCGTGCTCTGTGCAACCAAAATTGTGTTTTTTACGCCGTCATATGGCAATAATCACGGCGTAACCACAACGGCGTATTTTGCGGCACAAATACTGTTTAAAACGCCGTATTTGACTGCGTTTGGCTGTAAACGCGATTAATTTATAGCGTAATTCTGAACCTTTGGGCTTGCGGACTCTCAGATATACAATACTCTCACCCAGAGAGAGTGCGCGCACTTAAAACGTGCCTCTCCCATAGACTGTATAAAAGCATGGACGTGTGTCCGTGACGTCACCTGTAGATTTCCGAAGACCGTTTTTGAAGCTCAAAAGTGGGCGGAGCCGGCCGTCGCCATCTTGGCAGCGCGTCACCGCGCGTCACTCCCGGATAATCGAAAATGGGCAAAGAGGCGCACTTCCTTGTTGGCTTCACGAGAGAGAGTGGGAGATTGCTGCTTGGTCTCTATGGCATTCGGATATGGGGTGTGATTTAAGCACTTACGTTGCTAACTAAGCAATCAGTCGTGTCGATCGTCGCGTACCTTGCCGTGAGCAGAAGCCATGACCAATGACGTGTGATAAGAAGCGCTACACTTTCGTCGCCCCCCTTCTCGCGTGAGAAGCTGCCTGAGAAGATACGTGAGAAGCTACATGACGTCTGCGCCGTGTTTGATCAAAATAGTTGCTGGATATAGTATGTAATTCATCATCTAAAAGTGGCTTCAAAAGATTGTGGTGATTTAATTACAAGCACAACAATTATGCTGTGGAGCATTAAGATCATCTCCGGTGATAGCACTTAAGGTTGGATGAAATTTATCAAGATATATGGACAGTTTCAAATTACACTTGTACAAAGCTAAAAAGCTTCTGAAATGCTGTCAAACTTTATTAAATTCTTGATCACTGAGAACAAAAAAGATTAAAAATGTTGATTAGCTCTAGTTTTCAAAATATTGTATTGGTTCAGTATACACAACCCTTTACTTGTGAATAGCAGATGATAAGTGCGTATTAGAAGGAAGGACTCTAAGGCCTGGTTAGACCAGGGGTGCCCAAACTTGGTCCTGGAGAGGTCCGGTGTGTTCTGCAGAGTTTAGCTCCAACTTGTCTCAATACACCTGCCGGGAAGTTTTTAGCATGCCTAGTAAGAGCTTGATTAGCTGGTTCAGGTGTGTCTAATTGGGGTTGTAGCTAAACTCTGCAGGACACAGGCCCTCCAGGACCAAGTTTGGGCACCCCTGGGTTAGACTAAACCGGATTAGACCACAGTTCAATTAGGACATTTAAGTAATTTTTATAAATGTGCCTTCGAAAAAAAACATTACTGGTGTGCATCTTGAGACAATTCAAATACACTAATATATCTTAAGATCAGTCAGAGCAAGATTCTTTCAGTTGAAACAGCTCAGACTTACATTTTAGTCTGGGACTAGGCTTAAGCCTTGTCTGTGAAACCATGGGAATATTGGCTAAAATGGCTAAACTACATTTTTGACTGGGTCTATGAATAAATTTATGACTGGGTTTGGACAGTACTTCCTTTTTAGGCTAACCAAAGAATGATGCTGGTATTGTCATACATGATATGAATTGAGTTTTATTCCTAGAAGTCATTGATGTAATCATAAGGAAGCTTCTTGAAATTGTGCTTGCAGACTGTTGCTGAAAAAGTGACAAGAGATGCTCCATTTAATGAATACAAGAAGCCTGGTGTTCTGTCAGACCTCCCATTAAAACAGTGGGTAGTACAATTCGACAACGAAAAATACTACCTGTAAAATTATGGTTTATTAACTTCTACACCTACCACAACCCTAAACCTACCCTAACAGTAATGCAAATACAGTAATTATGTGTTATATTCACGGTTGTAGCTAGAAGGGATACAGTTACAAGAAACCAATAAATAATTTGTTCTACCTATTAGATTGTGTTTTATTGAAGTCTACACCTACCCTTACAGTAATGCAGATACATTAAATATTGTTGTTCAGCATGAGAAAAAGGACACAATATTGATGTGCGCATGCGCAGTAAACCCTGGTAGGACAATCTGACAGGTAGGATAAAATATCAGGACACCGGCTCTGCACATTTTTGATGTCTCCCTTATCTTACACAGTTCAGTTCATGGAGCTCTCTTCTAACAAGCTGATGAACTGAACCAGGTGTGTTAAATAATGCCGAGTTCACACTGCACGATTTTAGCCCGATTTTTCACACGCCGACAGGTTTTGTGTAATCGCCGACAAATGCCCGACATCGGAGGCAAATCGGTGCTCGTTCACGCGAGTGACAATCACGCAGTGTGAATTATCAAAGACGCGATCTGAGGAAATCGCCGATGCGTCGCAGACGCCCGTGAAATATTTGGCATTCACAATCACTGCTGTGTGAAATGATTTCTGACTGAAAAACACATCGGTGGTGACCTACAGCCAATGAGAGATCAAGATACAGGGCAGCGGGAAGTTCGGGGAGGAGTTATATGAAACGTAGTTTGCGGACCAGTGTTGCCAAATCC